TTGAACTCATTGTACCTGAAGCAGTTGCTGTCATTGAATTTTAAGTGAGTGTAGAATCTGTGTTTATGGGTAAGATTATGGTGCAAATTGTCTCTCTAAAATGCTAAGCAGCACTTGTTCAGGATGAATCTGATAGCTTTCATGCAACAAACTCACAGAAAAGGAAGTTAATTAAAAGTTTTTAAGGTAATTACTAACAAATCTGTCATTAAGGATTCAGTTCCAGACACAAATATATGACCTTTCTTACAGTTCAAAGTTGACCTTTTCAACTTCAGGGGTTCTTCTTAAGTATTCTTATGCAGCCAGTAACAAAGCTGTTTGAGAGTTTATAAAGGCTTTTTCCCTTTAAACACCAAAAGTCTCTTCTTTTGCATGTGGTAGCACCCTACCAGATGTATGCAGAAATGCAGAGCTTAGGCTGAAAATTCGTGGTTGTTTATAGTACCAATTATAATAATTTAATTTTATGTATTCTATATGTACAGAATGCTGTGCCAACATGCAAACCCCAAGTCTGAATATTCTAAAAAGACAACTAGGCTTAAAGCAACTATTATTACAATGATTTGAAACTCTTTTAAAATAAAACATTAAAACTACCAATGAAAACTAGAAATTCTCTTGAAAAATACATTACTGAATACCAAAAGCCATTATTCCATAGACAGAAGTTGAACTGTGGAAGAAGTCATTCAAGGCAGATGTAGTGATCAAGCATTTTTCATGATGGATGTGCTTTTACATGCAGCATAAAACATTGAAACTAAACATCAATGAATATAAACTTAAAAATGTAAACATGGGTTCTTAATGAGGAAAATTAGAAAGATATCAATGGCCACTACAATCAAGGAACCAATCTTCAGATCATTATAAAGACTCCTGTCAATTCATTGTGTGAAGGTTTGGCTTTTATAGCGTTAACCGGTGGAAATACCAGTGTGACTTGCTGAACACTGACTGCCACACACCCATACTCAGTACCTAGCACCACTGACACTAAGGGAGCACCTTAGGCACTGGCTGCACTAGGGTATCCCATGCAGGTGGCATGGAGCGTTACAGCCACAGCTTTCAGAGCTAATGTCAAGGAGCTGAAGGTTTTCCTGTAAGCATAATCTTGTAACGTTTCAATGATTTACCTCTGAATTGATCAGCACAATGAAAGGACCCACCAAAAAGAGTTCTGGGCAAACTGTTTTACTATACATGCATCATATGTCTGCAGCAGCATAACTCTGTCAATGAGAGCATTGCTTTAATCACAGATACTTGACAATAACATGTAAATGGTGAAACTGTGGATGGCAATGTAGAAAAAGTAGAAGTTTCTGCTTTGTAATTGGAACAATGCTGGAAATTGTAGCTCTAAAGAATTACATTGTGGACAAAAAAAAAAAAAAATCAATCCTACATCCTTTTTTATTAAAAAAAACCAACATTAACAGCTTTAATTCAAGATAATCACAACACTTCTTCAGAATGAAAAAAAAACCCAGTTAAATACAGAATTGCATGCAGTCCCGGGACTGGAGTCCTTAGTGTTAGGACAGTGTGATTGAAGAATGCAAAAAAAAATAGGCCAAAACCCAGTCAAATATAATCTAAGTAATTTAACTGTAAGATGAAACCTGTAGTTCTGTCATTAACATGTTTGTCCAACAGTTGACAGTGTATTGGTTATTGTAAACCTGGAATTTTGCAGACATTTTATTTAGTACCATATTACTTCAGTTGCTTAGCACAATGTTATACGTGTCAGCTGTATTTCTTGATTCTTTAACATATGTCCTACTAACGCTTGCTGTAAGCTAAAAGAGAACATATGATTGCATTAAAAATTGTTTCTGTCAGACCTCAAAATGGTGTCAAAGATGTGAGGTCACTGAACAGGGCACACAGATTTCTCAGGAAACAGGCACTGGCCCAGGATTTTGGAATCTTTCTCAGTAACTCAGTGGAAGTCAAATCTCTACTGATAAGCTTTGACAATAACACACAGGAGATACTGAACTTGATGACAAGTTGCTGTTCACTTTAGATCACTTCCCTGGTCAAATGCTTGCACCCAGTGTGAGGCACTTCTAGATTTCTGGTTTGTGTATTGAAGTCATATACTGAAAGGAAACCAGTTCCCAGATCTGCTGTTTATATTTACTATTTCCAGTCTGATAAAGAAAAGACAAAACAATATTTTGCACCTTACTTCCTTAAGAAACCTCTGCAGTTGCAATGTTTGGGGCACACTTTATCACTCCTTTTTGATGATTCAGCCTGATTTGTGTGCCCCTGCAGCTGCTGTGGCCCACCATCAAAAAATGGCTTGCACTGCAGGAGTGTAGCTGCCCCAATCATCAAAGCTGGTTCACATCATCAAGGAAGAAAGTACTGTAAGTTATATGGTGCTATATGCACAGGTCTGCAACAGAGGTACAAGCACCTATTGTCAGTGTATTTGGAGTGGTACTCAAGGTTTGGGCTCTTGCTCTCCTTCCACCTTTCCCTTGTTATCTAGGAAGAGATAAAGCTTTTTTTTTTGACAGTTGGGAGGGAGATGTTTGTTTTTCTAGTGTGTAGATCCCTACTGTAACTCACTGAATGAAGCAGAAAGTAATTTTACATTAGTCCCTGGCCTATGGTGTTACTCCTATCACCTGTGAAGCTATAAATAAAATGAAATCATACTATTCATTGATGTTCAGCTGCTATGTTCATTAATGACATCCCTGTCCTCAGTAATGAGTCCCTTCAAAATGCTGTACAAAATAGGAGGTGGACTAAAAATAATAAACGCGCTTAAGCAACGAATGTTACTGCCTTTTTTGAAAGGCACTGTGACTCAGCAAGACAACAGAAGCAGATAGTATATAACCTATTTGGCTAGTGACCAGTGACCAGCAGTGTTCCTCAGGGCTCATTTCTATTCTGTTCAATATTGTTAATGATCTTGATTCAGGATTGGAAGGCACCAGTAGCAAGTCTGCCAATGATACCAAACTGGGAGATGCTGTTGACTCTCTCAAGGGACAAGGTGCCTTGCAGAGGTGTCTAGACAGATCGGAGCATTGGGCAACCATCAATGGCATGACATTTAACAAGAATAAATGCTGGACTCTGCACTTTGGACAGAGTAACGCCAAACACAAGTATAGATTGGGAGCAGGTCGGATGTGGAGCAGCCCTGCAGGAAGGGATCTGGGGAGCTGGTTGTCAGCAGCTCAGTGTCAGTCATCAGTGTGCCCTGGCAGCCAAGAAGGCAAACTGCCTCCCTGGGGTACACCACGAACAGCATGGCCAGCAGTCACAAGAGGGGATTATACCGCTGTGTTCAGTGCTGGTACAGCCTCACCTTGGGTGCTGTGTGCAGTGCTGGGCCCCACAGCTGAAGAAGGATGTGGAGTCCTTGAATGTCTCCAGAGGAGGGCACAAAGCTGGTGGACAGTATGGAAGGCAGGTCCTGTGAGGAGCAGCTGAGGACTCTGGGTTTGTCTGATTTGGAGACAAGGAGGCTGAGGGGTGACCTCATTGTTCTCTGCAGCTTCCTGAGAAGGGGAAGTGGAGAGGGAGGGGCTGAGCTCTGAACCCTGGAACCCAGTGATAGGATGCCTGGGAATGACTCAAAGTTGAGTCAGGTGAAGCTTAGGCTGGACATTAGGAACCACTTCTTTTACAGAAGGAGTGGTCAAACACTGAAACAGGCTTCTTAAAAAGGTGGCCAATGCTTCAGGCCTGTCGGTGTTTAAGAGGCATTTGGACAACATGCTTTGACTTTTGGTTGCCCCTGAATTGGTCAGGCAGTTGGACCAGATGATTTTGTGATTCTGTGTCTTGTGCGTGTTCTCTTGACCCACAAGCTTTGCCATCTTTTTTTCTCCCACACTGAGCTGACAAGGGGGAGTGAAAGAGCAGCTAGGTGGGTATCCGGCAGCCAGCCAAGGCTGACCCACCACAATTACTCTCCCCAAGTCCAGACTAGAGCTCTTTTCTTCAAAGAGATTTACTCCTATGATTAAGTTGCCAACAACTTTGCTTTGAGCCTTGGGAAGCTGTGAAGCAAGTAACATGATAAAGACAACGTCCTTATTGCACTTCCTGTCAATGTGGGCTGCGAGGACAGATGATTTGGGTGGCCACAAGTGCTGTTTAAAAAAACAAAAGCAAAACCCACAAACACAAAACCCAACAAATTCTAGTAATGTCTTTACATTGCTCTGAAATTGAATGCAGTGCAGATGAGGAAAAAGGACGGTTTTATAATTTTCCATCTACTTACTAATTAAGACTTGGTTTTCTTATATTCTAGGACCTTTCATGCTGATGGATCACAAGTTGTATGTTAAGAAATAGTATTATATTATACTGTCTGAAGACTCAAAATATATCACTTTAAACTGGAAACTGTTCTAATCTCCAAATTATTACACACACTTTGCATCATGAAGTCTTCAGAGCATTTACTCCTGATGAATCATTTCAAACATTTTAAGACACTCCAGCATTTTAGGATTTGTCTCAGAGATAGTGTTACTCAGGGAAACAGGACAGTCCTAAATACTCCTCCCCTCTTCCCCTGTATGAGATTCTAGTATTAAGGTGTGGAATAAATTCATTCCCAGCCCCCATTGTGGGGTAAATGAGGTAAGTAAGGAGACCACAGGAAATGTCTGACAAGTTTTTCATCCTATTTCTTATTCTGCCACAGCTTTCCTATGTGACTATAGGCTGTTTTATCCTGCCTGTGCCTCATATTCCCCTGCTGTGCACATAGATAACAGGTTTTTTCTCTCTTTATGAAAATGTGAATGTGAATTCATTAATCTTTAGCAGTCACTTTTTTCTGTAAGAGACACATTTGCTGTGTACAGGGAAAAGGCTCACATTATTCTTTTATTTTTTCTTCTTTCCTGCAGTTTTGAAGCCATTGCTATTTCAGTGTCAGCTAAGACTTCCTTTCCAAGACAGCAGAAAAGCCCTCTGTCCTTCTCTCAGTTGTGGCTGTGACTGGCAGTGCCAACATCAAGGCTCTTCCTTATGAAAAGCTGTTTGAGAACACTGGACTGCAAGAAAGAGAAGGGAAGGCTTATATTTTCAATGAACTTCCAGAAAGGTAAGTATTAGGAAATTGCTACAGGGGAATCCATTTTCCAGTTCACCTATACTATTCCCAAAAGTGCCCCACTAATGTGTATGAAAATTCTTAACAATTAAATATAAGAAGTTATTTTAGGAACAGCAATGATCAGAAAACAACTGATTGGAACAGCTGATTTGGACAGAAATATTAAAATGCTTTTGCTGATAAAAGATTCAAGGTTTCCTGGAGTGGAGTTCCTGTAAGTGGTATGCCAGCTGAAACGGGACATGAGTGAACTGAAATAGTTGTATTTCACTGTTCTCCCACATTAAGATCAAAGCTTTAATCAGCAGACTCGGATTTTAATTATATTAAAATAACTTGAAATACTATTCCTTTTAGAAAAAATATTTCGAACATGAATTCCACATGCCTTATGGAGGAAACACAAGATTACTTTGTGTATGCCCTACTACTGTATCTGGGCACTTGAAGAGCTATACATAGAACTAACTGTGTTTTCCATTCACCAGCACAGATTCCCAGAGGGGAAGAATTTATCTAGGAATCACCCCCCTACTGGTACAGTACTATGTAGCCCACCTTAGTGCTGACAATACTACATCAGCAAGTATCTAAACACTTTAAGACAACGCAGAAAACAGTAAAATGAGGTCAAGTGCATCTTTCCTTTGATCTTAGCTCTCTGTTCCAAATGTCTACCAAAATAACAGCCTCACTAAGCTATTCCTACTAGTCCTTTCATTATTCCTATCTCGTTCAACATAACCACACCTTATGCAATGAATACAATCTTGATTTCATAATTTCCAGCATCTACTGCCAGCCCCTGCACAGAAAGTGTCATGATACATCTGAGGCACCTGTTAAAATAACATTTTTGCTTTTCAAAGACTTGTCACCACACAAGACACTCTGGAAGAACATAGGGCACCACAGGGAAACTTTAACTCTACATTAATAATACTGAAAGGTGACTATCTTGTTTTAAACTGGCAGATTATGACCAAAGCATTTATTTAATAACTTTGATCTGAATATTTAACAGGAAACACAATCATAACCAATTTACAACGGGAAGAATAAGACACTGGAAAATCCACAAGGAATATGGATCTTTAATTAATGAATATTAGGCACTACTGCCCAAATTGAGTGCATCTGAGAGAGTACTTCTCAAGCAGTAAAGGAATACTGCATATGACAAGCAATTCATGCAATTACTTCTAAATAATCCCACTTTGCAAGAAAACAGTTTGCATGCTTCTGAAAACAAGCTGAGTAAATACTAAATTTCTGAAGTATAGCTATGTTACTCTGTAAAATTAGGTAGCATATGCTCCAGTTTTTGCAACCACTGACATGCAGTTGTTCTCCTACTGATTTCCTAAGATTGCATGATGCTTTCGACAGCTACTGTAGCCATGCAATGCTGTCCGTTGCTCATACTGCAAAATGGAACAGATCTCCCTTTGAATCCTCCAAATTATGTTCACCTACAAGCTAGATGGTGTCATGAACATGCAGGTAGAAGAAGAATATATTCTACCTTAGGTATTGCAGCAATAGTATTAGGAGATATAGACTTTACCAAATTAAAAAACAAGCACCCATCAGGGCTCAGGTGGGCAAAAGAATATGCTTTTAACTGTATGGGTGAAAATGCTGGATACATTCATACAATGAAAGAATGGTTTTACATTTTTCCAGGTACTTTGATGGTTTTGGTTTGTACATCCAAGACACATTTTCAAAACCTGAGTTAGACATTCAAGGCTAAGTGTTTTCCCTGAGCATTGCCCTGAGATCTGCAAAGGGCACCAGCTGTCAAGATTTGCTCTTAAAACACCTAAAGAACTCTTCAAGGTGCCTGCAGCACCCTGAGCAGTTACAGCAAGAATCACATCTTCTATGTAATATTTTCAGACAATTGTTTGAAAGTCCCACCACCTGTTGCTCTCAGTGTAGTTTTTAACAGCCCATTGTACCGTTCGATTTTCCCAGAGGCTGGTGCATGGTAGGGGATGTGATATACCCACTCAATGCCGTGCTCTTTGGCCCAAATATCTATAAGGTTATTCTGGAAATGAGTCCCATTGTCTGACTCAGTTCTCTCTGGGGTGCCGCGTCACCACAAAATCTGTTTCTTAAGGCCCAGGATAGTGTTCCGGGCAGTGGCATGGGGGACAGCGTATGTTTCCAGCCACCCGGTGGTTGCTTCCACCATGGTAAGCACATGGCGCTTGCCTTGGCGGCTTGGTGGCAGTGTGATATAGTCAATCTGCCAGGCCTCCCCATATTTGTACTTCAGCCATCATCCTCCATACCAAAGAGGCTTTAACCGCTTGGCTTGCTTAATTGCAGCATGTTTAACAGTCATGAATAACCTGGGCAACAGTGTCCATTGTTAAGTCCACCCCTCGACCACGGGCCCATATATATGTTGCATCTCTGCCCTGATGGCCTGAAGCGTCATGGGCCCACCGGGTCAAAAATAATTCACCTTTATGTTGCCAATCTAAGTCCATCTGAGCCACTTCAATCTTAGCCGCTTTATCCACTTGTTGGTTCCTCAGTGGCCCGACTCTGGGGTACATGGGCATCTACGTGGTGTACCTTCACCACCAGGTTCTGCACCCGGGCAGCAATATCTTTCCACAGTGCAGCAGCCCAGATGGGTTTACCTCTGCGTTGCCAGTTGCTCTGCTTCCATTGCTCCAACCACCCCCACAGGGCATTTGCCACCATCCATGAGTCAGTACAGAGATAAAGTACTGGCCACTTTTCTCATTCAGCAATGTCCAGGGCCAGCTGGATGGCTTTCACCTCTGCAAACTGACTTGATTCACCCGCTCCTTCAGCAGTTTCTGCAACTTGTTGTCCAGGACTCCATACAGCTGCCTTCCATTTCTAACACTTCCAAAGCACTGGAGCAGCCCACTGGCCTAGATACTTGACCATACTGTCCCACACACCCTGCCACTCATGACTGTCCAGCCTTGGGGAAAATCTCTTGGTCCTCCTATATCATCGTCTAACCCTAGAAAAGACCCAAACCCAACTCTGCTTAACTTTCAAGATCAGATGAAACAGTTGTGGGTAAAACAAGCTCTATATGTGTGCCAACATGCTGATCCCCATCACAATCAGCAGGCAGGTCTTGAGGGTATGCAAAGGCCATTCAAAACCTTCAGAACTCTCAAATGATGCTTTAAATGGTCTGGTGGGGGAGCTGGGAAGGTAAGGGGATGTCTCCTTCATAGGTTGACCACCCAAGGAGGGAAAAAAAAGATGTGTAATTGCTAAACACTTCTATTATATACCTCCCAAAGTATAGAGGTGATTACCACACTGGGAACGCAAGCCAGATTTGTTTCATGATCAGTGAGTCTATTGCATTACAAGTCTACCATAAAGTACAGCAAAACAAGAACCTTAGCCCAAGCCCCCAGCTGATAAACACTAAAACAGCAAATACTGGATGTAAGTAATGTACGACATGCTGAAACTCTGAGATCAACAACTTTGAGAGCCAATAAATCAGCATTGTGACGAGTGACTATTAATCTGAAACAATAAATGGTTATCACAAATATGATTAGACACACTCAGGTCAGATCTGTCGTTATCTCAACCCTTTGTGCCCCATGTTGGGAGCCAAGAAGAACTGTCGTGGTTTAAGCCCAGACAGTAAATCAGAACCATGCAGCCACTTGCTCACTCCCCCCTCTTCCTCCCCCCAGTTGCTGAAGGGATGGGGAGGAGAATCAAATGAATGTAACTCCCACAGGTTGAGATAAGAACAGTCCAGTAACTAAGGTATAACACAAACCACTACTGCTACCACCAATAATAATAACGATAAAGGAAATAACAACGGAAGAGAATACAACCGCTCACCACCCACCGACCGATACCCAACCCGACCTCAGCAGTGATCTAGCCCTTCTGGGTAACTGCCCCCAGTTTATATACTGGGCATGAAGTGCTGTGGTACAGAATACCTCTTTGGCTAGTTTGGGTCAGGTGTCCTGTCTCTGCTTCCTCCCAGCTTCCTCTCCTCCCTGGCAGAGCATGAGACTCAGAAAGTACTTGGTCAGAGTAAACATTACTTAACAACTAAAAACACTGGTGTTATCAGTGCTGTTCCCAGACTGAAAGTCAAAACCACAGCGCTGCACCAGCTACTAAGAAGGAGAAAAATGACTGCTACTGCTGAACCCAGGGCAAATACGTATCGCATGCGTTTCCCTGTGCTGGTGATGATGGAAGATACGTGCATTCCATTCAACATGGGTCAACCCTTCAGGAATATGCCCTATCTTACTGAAATTTGCAAAATGCAGAAACATAAATGGTCATAACAGCAGCATTTATATTACCCATCAAGGTATCTCTCATCTCTTAGACTTTCTATATTTGCTTGTTAGATATTTCTTTAGTTTCAGGGATATGCATTTTGCAAAATCATGTATTTGTTTACAACAGCTGATGTAATGGGAGCAAGGTGGTGAAATTTTGAGAGGTTACTGAGAGATACAGTTTCTCTGAAATGTGGTGCTGCAGCTGCTGCTTCCAGATAAAGGGCCAGTTTGGTTTGCCTGTACGTTTTTGCCAGCAGTAGTTAACATGAATTCTGGCAAAGGCCCCAATTTCTTTTCAAAGACAGACACTGCAGGAAGCTGGCATTGCCTGAAATGTTGCTACAAGACTACCCTTTCAAAAGATCTTTTAGCTGTGCTTGATTGTATTTTATATCTATCTATCTATCTATATATCCATCTATATATCTATGTATATATATCTGCCAAGGTCATAAGTTTACACCATAAGCCCGGTAGACAGACGCTAACTAGGAAGAATAATACAGCAGTGTGAGTGATCTCTTTTCAGCCATTCTGCTGTTTGGCTGCTTAAAACAGAAACATTTGTGAGCAGGACAGAGGGATAAAGAAGAGACTATGACATGAATTATGTTACTAATTTATAAATTCATCGTAAAAGAATCATACAAATTTTGCTTGAAAGTCATTCTTCAAACATTTCTCTTCATGGAAAGTTATCATGAGCTATCTTACTTCCTATCATGGGGTTTATTGAGACAAAATCCTCTTTACCTTGCTTTATTTATTTCCATGAAAAAAAAAATCAGAGAATCTTATCTTGGCAGGGGTTGTTCTCAGAAGGCTTTCTCATCTACTTCTATACATAGACATATTATACCTAGATAGATTGTATTCTCTGTCTGTGCTTGCCTCCAATCTAATTTTCCTAAAGTCTAATATTTCCCCTCTTCTTCCTTAGAGGTATATGGGAGAATGAGGAGTGGCACGGGTGGGATGTGTTTTGTTTGTTTCCTTGTGCTTGAAGGCACATGTATGTGTCCTGTTTAAGAACCATCCCCCAAAACACATCCTGTTTTTTCAAAAAAATCTTCCCATTTCTTGTAACACTTTAAATTACTGTCACTGGTTTTATTATAAATCCTTTCCAAGACCACTCTCCAACTGAGATTAAATGACATCTGCTGACAAGCCTTGATTAGAAATAATGACCCCAGTTAAAATCAGGAACTACTTAAAATGTCACATTTCTGTGCATTAAGGAACTTCTCACACAGCTTCTCCTTTCTTTTTCTTTGTGTCCTTGAAATGACTGTGAACCCACGAGACAAAAAACCCCAACAATACAGACTAAAAATCCTGAAAAAAAAAAATAATCTCCCAGTTTCTGGAGTACTGGGCTGCAATTCTGATTCTTGCCACATTTTCATGTGCAAAATTATGAGCACTGCTCTGGACTTGCTAAAGGCTTCCTCTGCTCAGTCTAGTTGTAAATGTGTACCAATCACTTGTACTGGAACACGAAAAGCTGCAGTTCTGATGCTTCCTGTATTGCCCCTATGCATGGCACTGCTGACAGGAACTCCCAGCTTTATTAACTGAGGATTATTACACTCTCAGGTAAAGTATGTAAGACTCTGAGCTTTGGAAAACAATCACTGAGGAAAAGAGTATGTCTACAAGGCTGAGCCACACCCTGTCCAACCTGGTGTACGCAGGAGAAAGGGGGAGAAAGGGAAGGGGCACAGCTCCAGTTCTGCAGCAAGCATTCCCTTGATGGCAGGTGATGCTGACCTGCAGCTCTCCACTGTTATCTGTCATGTCTTAATAGCAGGCTGCTACTGGCTGTAAATGCTCATAAGCCAGTTTCAAGGTGAATTCTAATGTGACCGGGACTTGACTGATACTGATTTGGTTGCACTTCATATTCACTGTGAGAGTCCTAAAAATCTATTGCCCCTTTCCTGACACACAGTGTTGGAGTATGACAAGAGAGATGTGTTCAGCACACACCAATACATCAAATGGATGCAAAAAGTGTGTGATCTTAAAAGTAGCATAAGCAAGCCCAGGATGGAGATAAATCTTCCTAAATAGATAATAAGTGAGGAGGAGAAGACGCCACATCTTTTAGAAGAATTAAAATGTCATACTTTAAGCTTTTCCTCCATTAAAGGTCAGGTTACCAAAATTTGCCATAAAAGATGCACAACTAATCTCATGGTATAGAGAACTCCACTTATGAGCACAAGAGTTTGTCTCTGGTTATGATGAGGAAAGGACTTACGGATCTAGAATTGGTAGGATTCCCCAACTTTATCTTTCTTCTGATCTTGCAAGCCTCATAACCCAATTTGGGAATCACAATTCTACTTTGGAAGCAACTATCATAAATAATAAAAGGTGACCATATACCCAGAACTCATTTCTCACCTCTGTAACCAGCTGAGATAATTTCAGTTATGATATCCACTTACGACTGGCCTTGAACCTCAGGAGTATGGTGGAGTCTTTCATCAAAGTAATAAAAAGATCTTCATATACTCATATAACCCCACAAAATAAATTATTTGGGATGGTGAAAAAAGTATTGATGCATAATACATGCAGGATTTCCACAGATATGTTTAAAATAAGAATAGCAGAAGTATTCAAGATAGCTTTTGTTTTAATTTGGGCTAGTTTGTTTGATTATTTTCACATGATACTCTTGCAAAGAAATTTGCTACAAGGCAACAGTAATGAGTCTGTGCATTACTGAAAGAAATCTAGAGTGAATATTTACTAAGTCATCAACTTTATTTTTTCCTAAGGCAGCAGTCCCTTCATACTTGCATATATTTTTAACTTCAACATGGTATTTCATAGCCAATTTTAAATATCTGTAGAGAAAATGTTTTTTAGTACTGTAAATTCAATGTATTCTCAAACACTTAAGAAATCTGTGAAATGGAAGCAGTTCAGTGCTGACATTTTTAGCATCATCATTTTATAATAGGACAACTCTTAATTTGCAAATAACTAAAAAACCAAGAAACTCCAAAATGAAGGATCTCGTAGGAAAGGGTTGCTGGAGACTGGAATGCAAGTGTTGTAATGCCTGTAAATACATTATTACTACACGCTCGCTAGAGAATCTTCGTGCTGAGGGAGAAGGAAAAATTATAGCAGGTCAGAAGACTGTGAAACATGTGCCCTCTCTTCTCCTACCATCCCTTTAATTATTGACAGCCTGTCACTTAGGTGCTGTGGTACTATGAATAACAAAATGGGCTCCCATCTGCATTTCTCGACAGGTTTTATTCTTCCAGATGAAATACTGCCATCTTCAGGCAGACCATGTTTCATGTTTACCAGTTCTAGAGGGTGTTTAATTGCTGAGTAGATCATAATGTCAAACAAACAAACAGACAGAAAAAATGCTACTTCTGTGCTTTGCCAGGTAAAGGATTGATCTTGAGAGGTTGCGTCCTTCCTTAGGGTACAGGGTTAGCACTGCCAAAACACACATAGCGGTTATGTTGGCCCAAACACTAACAAAAACATCCAACTATTTCCTTTGTTGTAATGAAAGATGAGCAGTTAAAATTACAGCCATAGTTGAGACCTTAATTGCTCGACACTTCTGATTATGCATACTGCATGTTGTCAAACACATAGGCAGGTCATTGTAGAAGCAGAGTGTAAACTATTACAAATAAGTGGGTTGAAAGTATGTGTTATTTTTGTAAAATTTTTTCTTCCAACAAAGTAGAACTTGAAGATGCCATTTGAATATCAGATCATTATATAAGAAGAACAAATGAGAAAAAAAAATTACCCCAGCAAACTAATAATTATACAGTATACAGTACTCAAGTATTCAGCAGAGCAGTAACATTAATGTTCCTTTTTCACTTAGTGCCCTGAAACTGGGATGACCTTCTATATTCAGCCATAAGGATCACACAACGAATTAGACAGTACAAAAGCCGAAATGAAGACTAGGTCTGTAAAGGTACAGGTAAGCAGCCAAGCCAAGTCCTTCATTTAAACACTGAGACATAGATTTTTAAAATTCTTTATTAGAGTGCAAAATCAGATGCTTTTATTCTCCCCAAAATATTTCTTTCATAATGTGAATTGTTGCTGCTATCTTAGTTTACTGGCAGGATTTGTTATGATAATACATACATATTGTATTCAGTGCAAACACATCAGAATGCCTGCCATCAAAATACAAGTCAAGAGCAGCCAGATCCTGACTGTTGTTTTCAAACAAGCATGCAATTCAGTTAAAATCACGTAGGCTTTTTCTTTTCCTTTATATCCTATGAGCAAATTCTAGATTACATCCTCACAGATTTTACGATGTTTCACCTCTTGCTTGTGGTGCTTTTAAAACTGAAATCTGTAATTAGGTGTGAGCTCTCTGCTATTAGAGAAAGTATTCGCTATGCTTCAATATTCTTTATACTTTCATATGCAGAATCTGTGTTGGGGAACTTAACCTGCAAAGAGATATCTTCCGCCTTCCAAAGAACCACCTTTTTTTTTTTTTTTTACAGAAGAACAGTATCTTTAGAAACTCTATGATACAATTCATCCGACATAAAATGACTTCAAAAATCTCCCCAGCTTCTCCACCTAATCCTGAAAACTCTACTAAAATATGAAACCTCCCACACAGCACAGACTGAAATTTCAATCTCTGCTAAGTTTGCAGGATAAGGAATGTAAGAAACTAGTCTGCTCAAATTCTGTTTCTTCTCTAGGCCTACTGTAAGAGTTGGCCCTATCTTACCATTTCCACATACTTTTTTTTCCTATTTCTGCTTAAGCCTTCTGTGCCACAAAAAGACCTATGACTTCTTTTAGTTTCTTTTATGCTTCCTTTTTAGATTTCTTTATATTACAGAAAAACTTGTAAATTAAATAGGGCTCTCAGGTGTTCAATAGTTGTTCTAATTAGTTTTTTGGGTGCCTCCTTGCACTATATTACAAGGTATATAACATGTAATATGAATACTGTTGTATTATCAGTTGCAGCTTCCTCATCCCCAGAAGAATTGCTTCCTGCTTCATCAGGAGCAGAAACTCATGGCTGTTGCTCTATCTGCCTCTCCCACTGAAAGGAGAGGATACTTCTGATCCTTAGTAACTAAAGTTTTGCTGTTTGAAATAGGAAAATTTGACACTGTAAATTGTTATGAAGAAAAGTCATTAAGAAATTTTATACAAATTTGTAATATTACAAAATATTAGATAATGATACCTGATGGAGTGAAGGTGGGGAGGAGAAGGTGGAGAAATAAAGTATTTTTATGCATGCTGAACAAAATTCCAAGGAGTTTGAAGGTTTCCAGGGACTTTCAGTTAAACTTTCTAAAGACACATACCTAGAGGGATCGAGGACTGGGAAGCTATCATTCATACTCATGTAGACTAAGGGTACTGTTGTCATTTAATCCCAGCCAGAAGCTCAGCCCCACAGAGCCGGCTATTCACTCACTGTGGGATGGGGGACAGAATCAGAGGGTAGCAGTGAGAAAATTCATTGGTTGAGAAAAATACAGTTCAACAGGTAAAGGAAAAGCAGCACACACAAGCAAAGCAAAGTAAGGAATTCATTTACCACATCCTGTGGTCAGGCAGGTGTTCAGCCACCTCCAGGAAAGCAGGGCTCCAACATGTGTAACGGCAACTTGGGAAGACAAACACCATCAGTCTGATCATGCCCCGCCCCATTCCTCCTCCTACTCCCAGCTTTACATGCTGAGCATGATGACAGATGACATGAAATATTCCTGTGGTCAGTTGGGCTCAACTGTCCCGGCTGTGTTGCCCCCAAATCCTTGTGCACCCCCAGCCTGCTCGCTGGTGGGGTGGGGTGAGAAGCAGAGAAGGCCTTGGCTTTGTGTATGCACTGCTCAGCAAGAACTAAAATAACCCTGTGTTACCAACACTGCTCTCAGCACAAATCAAAATGCAGCCCCAGACCAGCCACTATGAAGAAAATTTAACTCGAACTTAGCCAAAACCAGTACAATAGTGAAATAAATAGGACTTTGTAAGAGAACTATTATGCTATTTCTAAACCCAAGGTGGAAATTCTGCTACTTTCTTCCATCTTTTTTCTCATTGGCATTCCTAAACACCATTTAAAAGCTAACCCATCCTTTAAGAACCTGTTCTACCGAATTGGCAATATTATGAACTGTTGATGGGATCAACCAGCAACAAGCTATACCAATACAGCCAAGAATTTCTTATAGACCCAGCTTCCTAAAGGTCAGTCCCAAAATTCAGGTGAACATGCACTTACAGGTATCAGGACCAGATACAATATCATGACTATTTTCTTATTTATTATTTCTTGTGTTCTTTTGTAGCTCAAAAAATTAAATATCATCCTAGTCTCAGGTCATCAGTCAAAGAATCACAGAATCACACAGAATGTTTTGGGTTGGAAAGGCCCTTAAGATCATCTAGTTCCAACTCCCTGCCATGGGTATGGAAGCCTCACACTAGACCATGTTGCCCAAGACTCTTGTAACGTGGCCTTGAACACCGCCAGGGACAGAGCATTTACCACCTTCTTGGGCACCTCTTCCAGTGCTTCACCACCCTCACAGTAAAGAACTTCTTCCTTATACCTAACCTGAACTGCCCTTGCCTGTGTAGTCTACTTAAAAATACATAGAGATAACATAGAAAAAAATCACAATTTATTCCTATGTATGTAATAAGCCTTTAATGTCATAAGTTTGAGGGGATTGTACTGCTTAATTCCTAGATCTTGTTAGCTGTAGTGGCTTTCAGGCTTCCAACATTACTGGCTTTATGACCTCTAATTTCATTAATATAAGCAGTGATACTGAAGAAATGAATTGTTAATTATATCTTCCTTCTGACGTTAATGTGGTGAAGATTTTACAACTGATAAAGATATTTGGTCATGCAGTATTTCATCCAGCTTCCACAGCAAGCGGTTACTGTGATTCTCTTGCATGAAGCAATAGTGACACCCAATGTTAAACCCCTTGCACTGACGAGAAGCACTGCCTTAAATTACCCGGAGTTGTAATTTTAAATTTGTTCAGCTCTTGCAAACTGTCAGGAAAAGAACCTTCAAAAATGGTCTGAAGCCTCCCTGTAGGTTTGTACTGAAAAAGCCTTGCCTAGATTATTAAAAAAACAAATTAAAGCCCATTTACAGTACTTTCACCAGTCTCTCCTTTTGAAATGAGATCTTGATCAGATTGAATTTGTTTCACAGTTCTGAAATTGTGGCGGATGGTGTTTTGAGAGAAGTGGGTTTCAGCTTCAGATAGAAGAGTGAAAGCAGTGGAAAGAATTTGGCATTCTCCAGCTGCCTACAACTATTGCAAGGCCTTGGGGAATGTTGCAGACGGACTTAATTGAAACAGCTAATGACAAGACACAAATATGTTTAAGTAATAAAGATACTTGAAAAGAATGCTGCCAATTAGAATGTGGATAAACATCTGGCCACAGCTGTTAAGTCCCTGTCTTTCCCTCCCTGCTGCTTGGGCACCCCATGTGGTTCCTGCTGCCCTGGCCTCCACATGCCCCTGACAGCATCATTGGCTCACATCTTGCCTACTTATAGGGTTTAGAAATTTTCCTACATGGGGCAACACGAGAAATATTACACTTATTATGTGCATATATATACATACATATATATATATATATATACTTATTATGTCTGCTCTTTGGTGACAGTGGCCCAGCTGTACAAAATATTCCATTCTGTGATAGCTGTGGCATAAAACCACTGAGAGAAACCTGCTTGGAGGAGAAATAAACAAACTGAAAGCATTTATGGTAAACATAGCTGTCATAGTTTAACCCGGCAGGCAACTAAGCACCATGCAGCCACTCCCTCCCGCCCTCCCTCCCTTCTTCCTTCCTCCCTTCTTCCTTCCCTCTCTCTGCCTCTACCCAGGTGAGATAGGGACAGAATTGGAAGAGTAAAAGCGAGAAAGAAACTTATGGGCTGACATAAGAACATCATCATTATTATTATTATTATTGTTGTTATTTGGTATTAGTATTACTAGTAGTAGTAGTAGTTGTAGTAGTAGTAGTCATATACATTGTAAGTAAAAGGGGTGGGGAGCAAAAAGATTGGAAAATAAAACTCAAGAAAGACAAGTGATGCAAATGGAAACAATTGCTCACCAGTATCCCCCTTGCAAGCCTCCCCCCTAGTTTTATTGCTGAGCATGATGCTATACAGTGTGGAACACCACTCTTTGGTCAGATGGGGTCAGTTGTTTTGGCTGTGCCCCCATTGCCCCAGTCTGCTTGCTAGTGGGGTGAGAGGTAGAAAAGGACTTGGTTCTATGTAAGCACTGCTCAGCAGTAACCTTGTGTTATCAAGGCTGTTTAGTCACATATCCAAAACACAGCCCAGTACGAGCTATTGTGAAGAAATTTAACTCTATTCCAGCCCAAACCAGTACAACAAATAGGAATTTACAAAAGAAAATTCACAGCTACATAAAAGAGGATTGGTAGGTTAAAATACTACCCGCTGCACATTACCATGGGTCATTCAGCTGTCTGACACCACAGGGTAGCTGGTGCTCCCACAGAGGGTAGTTGTGCCCCCCATCACACACCCCAGACCTTTGCAGACAGCTCAGTTACCTAGCACACCTCAGAAAGTACTACAACTATTTGTAGGTAGTTGACTCCCACCCTCTGAGACTGCATGCAGGTGATCTTTTCAAAGCATTTTTCAGATGTCCAAACCTCATGATTCCACATATTAATGACAGAATTTACTAAATTCTAATCATGACAGAGTGGTGAGATGAATTCAGTAAATTAAAATACCAATATAACAGATGGTTATACACAAACAGAGGAAATAGAAAAATGAGCAGCAGCAAGTAGAAATTAAAAATTTGGTAAGGGAAGCAGAAATCATTAGGAGAAATCCCTGGTTTGTAATGCTTAAAAAAGTAGTATGACGATAATGTGTTAGTGTCATAATCAAAAGCCACTCTACAATTTGAATTGCTGTTGGTATTCAATCTGGCATCTTCTAGAGCAAAAGATTACTAGCCTATACAATTTATTGGAGTTAATATTTCCCAAAAGATTTCAGCAAAGAATAATTCTGGGAGATTCAGAAAATTGAAAGATGTTAAAACCAAGAACTGGGCTTTTCACAGATAAAAACAATTTGCCTATAAATCTATAGAAGAAAAAAAGAAAAAGGAAAACCAACCAAAAACCAAAAGCCCACCACTGTACAAAATTGTATTTAATTCTGGGGAAAAAAAAAAAAAGAAGTTCTTACGGTATTTTTTATGACTGTTCAGTCATGATTTGTCATGTCACACATTTTTGTGCTATCTGTAATGTTACTGACAGTGAGTTTATGTTTTACCTCTGTTATGGATTGACACTGGCCAGCATTCTTAACCAGTGTAATTATTTTGGGTAGTACTTTTAAACCCAGAGTTTCTTTTACTAGCTGAAGTAAGTTTGAAAAGTTCAATTCTAATAGATCTACTATCAAAAGCGTTTATATCAGATTAAGTGAAAGACTAGTTAACTCTGATTAGATAACCTGTCCCTGATTTGAATATTGCATTAACCTCACTGTTCTTCCAATCTCCTACAAGTTCTGCTTACTCTGTTTGGCTTTTGGGCAGAGCACTTGGAAGATGAAAAAGATTTTTTTAAACAAACAAGCAAACAAAAAACAAACAGAAAAAGTTTCTCCCCAACTTCTCCTATTCAAAATCCTCAGAATGCTGAGTAAGAAAACCATCCTCAGTGATTAATGTGACATGGTCTAGTGTGAGATGTCCCTGCC